CCAGACAAATTATCTCCTATTCGCCCAAGGAGAAAGACTAAGGGCACTTGAAAATGATCGACGCCCCCCGAGGAGACATCAAAGACCACCATCTCCACCTCCTCGGGTCGAAGAAGTTCGAGACCCTACTCCCCCGCGGAGACACTACAGGGAGAACTCTAGGAGCCCCTCTCCCCCACCAAGGCAGAGGCGGCCCCAGTATGAGAGGCAGCCCGTCATCCCTACCGAAGAGCCCAGTCGCGACCCATCAAGGCACGACAGGAGGCACAACAGAGACGGGCGTGTGACCTTCAACCACCGAGCATCACGCTCGAGGGAATCTCAGCACGACCATCGTGCCCGGCATAACTACAGGACCCCTTCTCTTTCTCCAGAAAGGAGCGACGAGGACGACCCCCGCGGTCCCCTATCGCAGGCCATCATGGACGCACCTATTCCCCCGGGCATGGAGAAGCCCCCACATCTGAAGGAGTATGATGGAGTAGCAGACCCAGTCGACCACATTGACGGGTTCGAAGCCATGCTCCACTATCACAATGTCGGGGGGCCCATCAAGTGCCGTCTCTTCCCCACAACTCTCAAGAAGGCGGCCATGGACTGGTATAAAGGGCTCGCCCCGGGCTCAATTACATCGTGGCGGAACCTGAAGAACCAGTTCATCAGTTCCTTCACCGCTTCTCGGCGCCACCCGAAGACCGAGGCAGCCCTCGAGGCCATCATCCAAAGACATGATGAGACCTTGAGGGAATTCATCAACCGCTTCAACCGGGAAGCAATACAGGTCCCCTGCGCGGACCATATGAAAAGGTACTTGCTGGAGAGGGGCCTCCTCCCCGGCACAGAGTTCAGAAAAGCTGTGGGTATTGAGCCACCTGCAACTTTTGATGCTCTCCTCGACAAAGCCCGAGCATACATGGACTACGAGGAGAGAGAAGCTGCCAACAGGGCACGAGACTCCAGGGCTCGCAATCATAGCAGCAGCTCGAGACAAGACCCTCCTCCCCGACGCACCGGAGAGAAGAGGAAGGAAGATCGACCCCGGGAGGTCCGGGAACAAAGGGGCCCCTCGGGCCGTTTCACCGAGTACACTCCGCTCACGGCTTCCCGCGAGCGTATTCTGGCGGAGTGTGCTAGCACAGATTTTAAAGACGGTGGCGTCAAGCGTCCCCGGCCAGCTCCTGCCAAGCCAGGAGTAGACAAAAACAAGTACTGTCAGTACCATAGGAGTCATGGTCACTTGACAGAGGACTGCGTCCACCTGAAGGACGCCATCGAAACCCTCATCAAAGGAGGGAGGCTTGCACAGTACAGGCGAAACGACGCTCCCCGTCGTGACGCCCGCGAGGCAAAGGAGCCCGAAGAAGATGCCCGACCATCTGACGAGTCGGTGCCAATCCAGACCGCCTTCTCGGTAACCAGGCCCGAGGATTTCGAACTTCCCGAGCTCCTGCAGGAGCCCCTGACGACACACAGCAGGTGGGAATACTTCCCCTCCGCCATGGTCATCAACGGGGGCGGGTTCAACGACCTCACCATCAACTCAGCCAAGAGGAAGTTGGACGAACTGGTCGACGCAGCTCCTCCACAAACTGTGACTTTCGAAATGGTGAAGGGCAGATCAGAGCCCATCACCTTCTACTTGGAAGAGCTCCCCGGCGGAGCACCGAACGCAGTCATCCCCTTGCTGATAAGGGCAAAGATGGCCAATTTTGACGTGCATCGCATCCTGATCAACGAAGGGAGTTCCGTCGACGTGATGTACACCCAGCTGTTCCGGACCTTACAACTGGACGACTCACATCTGTCTCCGTATATAGGTTCGGACCTTCAAGGCTTCAACGGCTCGACTTCCAAACCTTGGGGATATGTCGAGCTCCTCGTGACGTTCGGGGAAGGAACTGCTACAAGACAGGTGAAGGTCCGCTTCCTCGTCATTGACTGCCCGTCCCTATACAACTGCATCTTGGGGAGGCCGACATTGGCGGAGCTGACAGCGGTTCCCTCAACTGTCCATCTAAAAATGAAGTTCTATACCAAAAGGGCAAGGGTAGCCACCATCCAGGGCGACCTCGCTGCTGCCCGCAGGTGCTTCAACGCCGCTTCAAGGGGACGGGATACCGTCGACGTGGGTACCAGCACCAGACCCATCAAAAAGACAAAGCAAGAGCCCGACAGAGCATCCCCCGAGGTAGAAGTTCAGAAGGCTCCACCAAAGGTCGACTCTATAGCCCTCGACGCCCGCTTCGACCAAGACGAGCCACCCAGCGGCGAGCAAATCCCCCTCCGACCCATTCCGCACGGCGATTTTGAACTCGTTCCCCTCGGAGCAGACCCGACCAAGGGAGTGAAGATTGGCAAGGACCTCCCCGACTTGGCCAGGAAGCAAATCAAGGCCTGTCTGCGCGAGAATGCTGATCTCTTCGCCTGGAGCGCTGCAGAGATGCCCGGACTCGACCCTGAGGTCGCCTGTCATCACCTCGCCATTGATCCAGCCGCCAAGGCCGTAGTACAACGTAGGCGTAGGCAGTCTCCAGAAAAAACGGAGGCTGCTGAAAAAGCTGTAAAAGACCTCCTAGAGGCAAATTTTATTTCTGAAGCCCGGTACTCCACCTGGCTGTCAAATGTTGTACTTGTTAAAAAGAATAATGGAAAATGGAGAATGTGTGTTGACTATACCGACCTCAACCGGGCTTTCCCGAAGGATGCCTTTCCTCTACCTAACATTGACATGCTGGTCGACAATTCGGCCGGCTACAAGACTTTGTCGTTCATGGACGCCTACTCGGGATACAATCAAATCCCAATGGCCCTGGGCGACAAACGCTGCACGGCGTTCATGACCAGCTCGGGCAACTATTACTACAATGTAATGCCCTTCGGACTAAAGAACGCTGGCGCGACGTACCAACGCATGATGAACAAAGTGTTCCACAAACAGATCGGCGACATGCTCGAGGTGTATATGGACGACATGATCGTCAAATCTCGGGCAGATACCGATCACGCAGCTCACCTCAAAACAGTCTTCGCCCAAGCAAGACAATGCAAAATGAGGTTCAACCCCGAGAAGTGCACGTTTGGGGTTAAGGCAGGAAAATTCCTCGGATTCTATCTAACAGAACGAGGGATTGAAGCCAACCCCGACAAGTGTCGAGCATTCTCCGACCTCCCTGTTGTACCCCAATTTTTGACCTAAGATCCCATTTTTATTTTTGCATTTTTTAAGATAAGTCAAGGTCACGAAATACGGTCGGTTTTAACGTCTCACCTTCGAGCTTTGACTATGCAGAAATTGTCAAATATTTTGAACATTCTTAGCCTATGTATCACTAACTTCTAATCAAGCACGAAGTGTGTGTTTTTTGTTTCTTTGATTTCATTTGCAGGAAACAGATCTAAATCAAGAGCATCAAGCGTCATGCCTCGATTAGGGTTCAGAATCTCTCAAGCCAGAAGTACGGTTGATTATGGATTCTTGAAGACTGATTCATCAAGGCACAACTGTTGCACACCAAATTTCGCCCCTAATTTTTTAGTCGCACATTCATACCATATTTTGTCATTTGGTCACAATTATTAGTAAATATCTTCATTCATCATATTTTGCATCATTAGTCGTATTTAAGTTGACCAGATAAAGTCGGTTTAAATCAAAGTTTGCATCGTCTTTCAGTTGTAAAATACCTGACATTTCACTTCATGCATTTTGATCTCTTTATTCGTTTCTTGCATTGCTCCAAGTTGTTTATATGTCGATAATAAAAATATTTTGATTTTATAGACGAACTGTTAAAAAACGATTCAACAATGTACGAAAAATTAGTGAGAAAAATATTTCAAGTTTCCACCTTTTACCGATCATTTTATGAATCTGCACCTCACGTAGATTACGACGGTATGCTCGCTTTATTCGGTACAGTTCGAAGTCTCGTTTTTAACCTTAAACGTCTGTTTAGTCTGATATTTTTATTATTATTTTATTTTTGATTTTTTGACTTCTTGAATATTTTTTCTTTAATCTTTGTGACATGTAGATTATTTTAATGTGTTCATTTTATTTTTTCGGATAAATTTTCGTCCGTTTTTTATCATTTTCGGTCATTTTGGGTCTTTATTTTTTATTCATAAAATATTCAAAAAAAATCATTTTAAATTGAGTTATTTTTTATAATTTCAGGTTTTATTTTATTTTTGTCATTCAGGGACTTTTTGGTCACAAAAAATATTAATTAGGCTTCGCTTAATTCTCATTGGTCGATAGCATAGTTTGCGGATTGATAGAGATTGATTTCTCATTGGTCGAAAGCATGGTTTGCGGATTGATAGAGATTGGATTTATATTGAACGGCTTGGATTTATTTTGAAATCATAATATTTCTATTCTTTTTCTATTTAAAAGCTTCATTTTCTTTCTTTGCAAGGGGGGACACATCACACAACAAGAAAAAGCAACTTACAGTAGCTAGCTCACTTTCTATTCCTCTTTCCACTTTCTATTCCTCTCACATCACAAAACAACAACGAAAACAACACAGTAAATAATCTCACAACACCTCTCTTCTACTTCTACATCTAATTACTTTGTTCTTTCTCTCATTACAAAACCGAAATGGCATCTCTTATGTTCTTCACACTTTTTCTTACAATTTTTGTACTTCACTTTACTTTAACAACACCACCACCGAAAACACCATTGAAAGCTCCAGATTTTGTCTCACGTCAGCAACCCTCCCTCACGACACCCGTAACACCATCACGAAACCCCCCTCCTCTCAACCAACCTTCATCTCCACACTCGAGCTTCGTCTTCTTTACCCTCTGTACTAAAATGGAACCCAACGTCAACAACACCAAACCTATTCAACCAAACGACCAAAATTTGTCATCTGTCTTCCATTCCCAATTTCCCAAACCTTCATATAACCTAATTCAACCCCAATCTTTTCTCAAGATTAGGTGACTGAACAACGTTTTCTCGGATTCGTTATTGTATTAACGACATGGATACTGTTCCCGATCAAGCCACTAGTATATGCCCTCACTGTGATCGGGCTATTCCTGCTGCAAACATTGATTTGCATTCTGTTCATTGCTTACGGAACCTTGAAAAGTGTAAGGTTTGTGGTGATATGGTGCCCAAACAACATGCTGAGGATCATTACTTGAACACGCATGCGCCAGTTGCATGTTCATTGTGCAGTGAAACAATGGGGCGTGATATTTTAGATATCCATAAAGGTGAAAAATTCCCTCAAAGGATTGTCACCTGTGAGTTCTGTGAGTTTCCATTTGCCAGCAATTGATCTGGCAGAGCATCAGGAAGTATGCGGGAATCGAACAGAGATGTGCCACTCTTCGTCAGCCGGCAACCGCTGGAGGCAATATTACATGTGAGGGTCGCTTTGACATTATTTCCCTAACTGGATCCTATGCCCGTAATGAACATGAAGGCCGTTCTGGTGGTCTTAGTGTATGCTTAGCTCATTCTGATGGGCAACTTGTAGGTGGAAGCATTGCCGGACCCATCAAACCGCGAGCACCCCAAGTGTCTCCGATATACAACCTTCTGTGACTTCCATGTCTCCAGCACCACGCAGACTACCATCCACGCGTTCTCCTCCGGTGACGCAACATAACAATTGGTACAAAGTTGTTGTGTTCTTTTTTTTTTTCAGAATCAAAGGGAAAGCAGAAGAAGAAGATCTCGATGTCCACCATTCTCACTCTCGACCGTGTCGCCGCCGTGCCGCTTCTTGTTGCTACTTTCTATATGGATGGTTGGCGAGGAACAGTAGCTACTACCACAATCTTCATTGCTGCTTCTGTTACTGATTGGCTTGATGGTTATATTGCTTGCAAGATGAATTTAAAATCTTCATTTGGTGCATTCTTAGATCCTGTTGCTGACAAGCTTATGGTTGCTGCTACTTTGGTTTTATTATGTACTAGACCTTTGGAGGTTGGTTTCTTTGCACAAGCACCTTGTTTACTAACCAATATACCCCATATACTCTGCTTGCACCCCTTTGTTAAAAATTTTTTTTTTAGTTTAATTTTAATTTCTTAACTTATTTGTTTTAGTTATTTAGTTTAGTTAGTAAAAATTATTTAGTAATCGCATTGTTTTAGTTAAGTAATTTAATCATGGAATCAATTCAGAATTATTTAATAATCTTAGAATTTTTAGTTAGTTTAGAATTATTTTGATAACCTTTGAATTTTTAGTTAGCTTAGATTTATTTTAGTAACTTTAGAAATTTAAGTTAGTTTAGATTTAACTTAACAACTTTAGAATTTTAATTTTATAACTTAGTGATTTTATAATTAACTTAGTTTATATTTAAATTAGTTTAGATATAATTTAGTAATTTTAGAGCTTTAATAACTTTAGAATTTTTATTTGATTTAGATTTTAACTTGATAACTTTAGAATTTTTTTTAAATTTAATTTAGTAACTTTAGAATTTTATTTGGTTTAGGTTTAATTTGATTTAGGTTTTAATTTAATAATTTTAGAGTTTTCATTTAGATTTAATTTAATGCCTTTATAATTTCGATTTAATTTAAATGTAATTTACTAATTTTAAAATTTTAATTTAGTTTAGATCTAATTTAGTAATTTTAGAATTATTTTTTATAGCCTTAGAATTTGTAGTTAGTTTAGAATTATTTTAACAAGTAATCTTAATTTTTTCAATTTAGTTCAAATAACTTTTTAGATGATTAGTTACATTTATTTGTTTTATTTCCTTGTGGATTTTCGAATATTTGTAATTTGATGTTTATCTTATTTCGCTTGTTTGCTCAATTCCAAGGGAAATGTTTTTAACTTTGTTGACTTCATGTCATCAAATATATTTGTTACAATCGTGCGAATACCCTCATCCATTTTTTTTTTTTGCTTATTTACTATTTTTCCAAACTCAAGATAATTTTCCCAAAAGACTCCATTTTCAAACTCACACCTTTTAAGTCAAAACTTCGACATGAGGTCGTCGTATCTTCAAAATCTAGTCCGCGCCTATTTTTAGCCAGACAAACCATTTTAATTAAACAAACAATTTTTTAACCAAAAAACAGACATTTCAAAAGGTTCCTGCGGAGTACCGCAGATGCATTGGGTGCTAATACCTTCCCATTGTATAACCAACCCCCGAACTCTCGATCTCTTTCAAAAAACGCATTGTATTTTTATTACTTTTAAGTATTATTTTACATTGCATACTTTAGGGTTTTATTTCGCTCTTTTCCCTTTTTCCTTGGAAATAATAAAGCGCGGTGGCGACTCTTGCTTTTGCGAGTCAAGTTAATTAATAGCTTGATCTCCGATTTTCACCGCTACAGAATTGGCGACTCTGCTGGGGAATAATTGACCTCTTGCTGGTCCATCCCTAAGTGGGTTAAGCCTAATTTGTTTTATCTGTTTTATCATTATTTGATTGTTTGATTATATGTATATATTATGATTATTTGGGTGTTGATAATATTTACAAAGGACAAGTCCTATACCCGGACTAAGTTACACTTAGGAATAGGACGGGCGATATAGTCATGTTAACTTTGAGGGAGTAATCCCGAAGAAGGAGGCATGAGATCCCCCACTCAGTGGAAGGCCCTTTTGAACGTAATATTTGTTTACCGAGTAATCGGGAAGACATTATTATTTTCGACCTGGGAGCCAGAGAAGCTGGGAACCGTAGAACCCTAACCCATCTTGGCCTTTTAGGTGTAGCGCGGAGATTATAACGGAGTAATCCGGAAGTAATTGTTACGTGATGCTACGCTCGGATGAGTTTCTCTTGAGAATATTGCTGATTATTGAGTAATCAAGACGTCGGTAATATCCGAAGGAGGAATGTAGACTCTGGGAACTCTTAGAACCTTGTTCTACAGGTGTGATTAAACCGTTAGTACATACCTTGGGGGTGTTCCTTACCTTGACTCCCTGCTTGTGACGTTGAACCTTTCAACTTAATTTGTGACCTTGCTTGTGGTTGTTGCATAGCCATGCATTCATAAAACCCTTTTCACTTGACTTTGAAGGAATTTGGAGGTCTTTCTTTGTAAACATCACAAGTTTCGTCAAGCTCAATGGATCTTGGGTGTTGATAGGGCGAAAACCCTAATCCACCAAAATGGATGATTGATCTTGATGATAACTTGATCAACGCTTTGATCCAATTTAAAATTCATCTTCTATCTTCATACTTCGATGTTTACAACTTAATATCTTGAGTTCCTTGAAAATCAAATAAAAACTCTCTTTTGCATATCATACATCATCCTACATTTTTTTTATTTCACTTTCAAAGGTCTTTTTCCAAGTCTTATTTTTCCTTTGGTCTCATCAATACAACACTCGCGCTAAGAGAACAATGGAGAATATCATGCAAGAGGTTTCTGAACTCCGCAGAGAGATGACTATTTTGAAAGCTGGTATGGAGCACTTAACTGGTTTGGTCGAAATTTTGATTGCCGCCCAAGTCAATCCTTCTAGGAGTAAGGAAGCGATGATAAAAGTCTTCACTGAAACTCTAAAATCATTCTCTCATGAGAAGGTGATGGTTAATGCACCTAATGACTTTCCTGACAAGGTGAATATGGGAGTGCGTCTAGAAGAAGATGTTGGGAAGGGATGTTCACATGAAGATGGTAGCTCAGCTAATGGTGCGAAGAATTTTGATAATAACTTTTCCAAGAAGAGAACCATAGGAAGAAATAGTCATCGTCAGAATCATCACGTTTCTCCTATTCATCAACAGAATCAGCAAGTTCCTAATCAGAGGAAAACCCAGTTTGATCCAATTCCGGTTACCTATACAGAGTTGTTCCCTATCCTGATGCAGAGGAATTTAGTTCAGACCCGACCTCCACCGAAGGTTCCTGAGAAGATACATTGGTACTACAAAGCTGATTTGACTTGTACCTTTCATCAAGGTGCTCCTGGGCATGACTTGGAGGGTTGCTTTGCTTTGAAGATTGAAGTTCAGAAGTTGGTCAGAAGTGGTATCTTGTCATTCAAGGACGTTGGTTTTGAAGTTCAAATCAAGCATGTGTCGAAGAGTAAACACAATTGATGGTCACTTTGAGTTTTGAAGGATGTTTTCGGTAATTCAAGTCCAGATGGAAAGCCTTCCTAGATTATTAACTTATTCATGCTTTTTGTAATTTTTCTTGTTTATCAAAACATTGTTTGCATGTAAGAACTTGTTTGCATTTGAATGATTATCTTAATACAATGAGCATGTTTGTCTTGAAGAAATTCATTCGTTTCACTCATATTTGTTTTCAAATTTTAAATTGCTTTTTGCATTATGATACCAACTTGTTGCTCATTCTCTTGCCTAGGCAGAGATTGAAGGGAGGATGATGATCTAAAGAACACAAAATCTCTGTTTGTTTGCTTTTGGATAAAATCTTGCTGATGATGTACAGGCATTGTTTCAAATCCCTAAACACCGGAGATATAAGGAAGATAATCCCTTGCTAACCCCTTTTGAGCCTTTGAAGCAGAAGTTTCTTTTCTATACGAAAAAACCTTGAATTTTAACCTGGGGCAGGGTAGTTTTTAGTTAATCTGACTGAGTGTTCGAAATTCATAAGGAAGATGTTTTTTGAAGAGAAACTACGAGGGCTATCTTTCATGTATAATGAAGCCAGAAGATGTGGAATCACAATGTTATCCCTCATTAATCAAGAAACGAGGCAATCACAATCTTCTCAACAAGCAAATGCAAGCTAATGTCACACATTTTGTTCAAAAAGTCAAAAATCGAGAAGAAAAAAAAAGAAAAAGCCTGCTAAGTCAAAAAACATGAAAACGTGTGACTTAGGCAAAATTAAGGCATCCCGCTGGACTATCAATTCAAAAGAATTAGTTCAGGCAAAAGTTAGGGAAAATAAAATTGCAAAGAAAAGGACTGCAAAGAAAAGTCCTCAACAAAGAACAAATTGGTGACTACAGACACGAAGACATGAGGGTGGTTTCTACTCTGAAAGCCTCGTCGTTTCCTTGACCGTCACAAAATCCTTTTGAGAGATGAACACTCATGTTAAATTAACTGAACATAGGGTTGGAGAACATCATGAAGAATGGGTGGACACCAAATATTTTGAGCCTTAAAATCTTTTTTCTAAAAACCATGAACCAGACCACGTTACAACCTTCAAAAGTCCTAATTGAAGCAGGGTTATTTTGAAAGCATACTTCAATGAGATAGTGTTCCTGACTCCCATGAATGTTCTAAATAGTTATGTTGGTATCATATGTTTTTCCTATACAAAAATAAATGATGCTCTAACTCGCAAAATTTGTGCGATATTTTTTCAAAATCTTCAAGACTTACATAACTGGTGCATTAGAATTTTCATTCTCATTGTAAACTTTTTCTAACGGTAAAACATTTGTTTGATATCAAGGAAGCTCACATAAGCACCAGTGAGGAGTTTATTCTTTTAAGGCCTGAGACTCTGTTGAGTAATTGGCGAATCATTTCAAGAAAAAAATCATATCCAGGGGCATGTCACTTGAAGACCTTAAGCACGGACATGTTGATTCTCCCAGTTAATGCT